AGGTCTGAGATTTGAGGTAACCTTTGGTTTGAGCAAACTGCAATGGAAAACAGGATGGATTTTCCATAGATTCTTTGGCAAGTCTAGCTCAACAGTCACAGGATTGATGATGCGTTTAACTGGTCCTATAAACTTAGGACCTAATTTCTTTGAAGATTGCCGGGACTGTAAATACTTTGTAGAAAGGAACACCCAGTCTCCCACTTGATATGGCTTTTGTTCTACCCTTCATTTAGCAGCTTGGACTTTATAAGCCTCCCTAGCCTCATCCAGGGTTTTCCTGACCACTGGTCAGGTGTTTTGCAATTGTTTGATTCACTCCTGCAAGGATTGGATTTCTGGTTCTTTTGTGGGGAGTTCAGGCATGGCCACAAAAGTTTGGCCATTTGCTACTTGAAATGGAGTAAACCCAGTACTTGAGTGTACAGCATTATTGTAAACAACCTCAGCAAACAATAGCAGGTCGGCCCAATTGTCTTGGTGATAATTAATAAAACATCTCAGGTATTGTTCTATAATTGAGTTAAGTCTCTTTATCTCTCCACTTGTTTGAGGATGGTGGGAAGATGATAATCCTTGACTAGAACCCAGAAAAGCATTCCAGAACTTAGAAGTGAATTGAACCCCCCCCCCCAGTCTGAAATTATATGTTGTGGAGCCCCATGAAATTGATATACATTTTCCACAAAGAGTTTAGCTAAAGTTTTTGCAGTTGGAATCTTGGGGCATGGAATGAAATGAACTTGTCTGGAGAACCAAAGTGTCTTGCAGTTTTCGAATCATGTCCTGCTTGCATCACTTTAAGTCTCAATTCTGCTGGACCATAGAGTTTTTCCCCAATCCATGCTAAACCATCTTTTAACACACACAGGTTATTAGAAACCATTCATCTGTTTCTAAGGCAGTTTTAAATTCCTGTAATAAAGTCTTTCCAATGGCACCCACTGGTTTTGATTGGGTCCTGGTGATTAGAGGGGCTGCTAGTTGATGAGGATGCAGAAATGGTTTGGCTACTTCTGCTTTCTTGCTGTTATACTGTGGTAGCCTGGATAATGCATCAGCTAGAAAATTCTTTCCCCCAGGGAGGTAGTGAATTGTAAAATTAAAACGATGAAAAGCTGGGACCACCTTGCCTGCTTAGGGGAGAGTTTTCTGGGTGTTTTCATGGCTTCAAGGTACTTATGGTCAGTCCATACTTGGAATGGTATTTTGTTTCCTTCTAGGAAATGTCTCCAAGTTAGTGAAGCTCACTGTACAGCATAGGCCTCTTTCTCCCAAGCTGTCCACCTCTGCTCGGTCTCAGACAGTTTCCTCGAGGTGTAAGCACAGAGCTGTTATTATCCTTCTTTATTTCTCTGCAGCAAAACCGCTCCCATAGCTACATTGCTTGCATCAGCCTGAATTATAAATGGTTGGTCTGCGTCCAGATGTTTTAAAACCGGCTCCATAGAAAACAGTCTTTTAAGTTTCTCAAAAGCTGCTTGGCATTCTCCTGTCCATTTCAGTGGTTGACTGGGTTTTGGCTTATCTCCCCCTCTAGTCTTTAACAGGTTTGTAATTGGGAGGGCAATCTGTGCAAAAGATGGGATGAATTGTCTGTAGAAATTTGCAAATCCTAGGATACTTTGGAGTTGTTTCCTGGTTTTGAGAGGTGCCCGGTCTAAGACTGCCCTCACTTTCTCTGGGTCTATCTCTATCCCTTCATTTGATATGTGATAATCCAGTAATACGATTTTTGTGAAACTCACATTTTGATAGTTTGGCATACAGTTTGGCAGAGCGCAATTTTTTCAGTACCGTTCTGACTAGCTTAATGTGCTCATCTTTTGTTTCAATATAAATAAGGATATTGTCCAGGTAAACTAGAATCCCCTTATATAAGTGATCACGTAGGATTTCATTGATCAGTTGCATGAATACTGCAGTGCCCCACTGTAATCCAACTGGGAGAACTTTAAATTGGAAGCAACCCAATGGCCAATTGAAAACAGTTTTCCACTTATCTCCTTTCTTTATTCTTATGCAATAATAAGCCTCTCTTAAGTCCAGTTTTGACAAAAAAAATTCCTTTTGATAGGTGCTCTAACATGTCTTTCATTAAAGGTAATGGATACATGTTTTCCATGCACACAGCGTTCAGGCTCCTATAATCAACACAGAGATGAAGAGAGCCATCTTTCTTCTCTCTGAATAACACGGGCTGCTACCCGGGGTCTAGCTGGCTCGATAAACCCCCGCTCCAAGTTCTTTTTGATAAATTTTTCCAGTACGCTCAACTCCCTAGGAATCATCAAGTACATTTTTGGTTTTGGCAATTTCGCCCCTGGAATTGCATATTCTGTGGGCCGATGAGGAGGAGTTCGTCTGCCCTCTGCTCACTGAAGGCTTCAGCCAAATCTCAGTATCCCATTGGGAGGCTGTGCAAGTCTGACTCACTGAAGACGGAGGCAAAATCACGACATAATCCACATCTTCCGACTTTTTCTTTAGTGACAGGCGAGACTTCCCCCTGCAGGAATCTCAGTTGCCCTTCTCTCCAGTTGATCATGGGGTTCCACTTATTTAGCCAAGCCAGTTCCAGAACTAATGGCCACTATCCCCGGGGCCACAATAAACATTAAAAGTCTCTGTGTGACCTCCCAGGTCGATGTATAAGGGTCTGGTGGCAAAACTGGCAGGCACCCCCCCTCACAACTGAACCATCCAGTTGGCAAAAAGTAATTGGAATCTTAAGCCTCCTGAGGAGGATCCCCATTTTCCCCATGAGTTCTGGGCTAATAATGCACCGGGTACACCCCAAGTCCAGCAAGACTGCTAATTTCACTGTCCTCCCAGTGCTGAGTATGGAAAGTTCTAGAGGCACTATTATGGGGTCAATTGGCCCACTCACCAATAGGTCATCCTCATAGTCATCCTTCACTGTCCCTGGATCATCGTAGTGTTGAGTCGGAGCTCGACCCTCTCGATTATGATCCCAGGGGAGCTCTACGACTTCCTCGGATCTCATTGCAATCTCCCTGGGGCGTGATTGGATCCTCAGGGGTCTCTTGGCTGGTAGAAGATCCCCTCTCTTGGCAGGTGTCTTACTGCGGCAATCCACAGCTCAATGTCCCTCTTTGCCACATTTGAAGTCGGCAGTGCTGCAAGGTGGGGCAGGCAAAGCTCGTGCAGTCTCCCCTCGCTTATCACTCTGCGGCTTGAAGCTTGGCCTCACCGGGCGATGCAGATGCTTGTGTTGATCAATCTCTACTTCCTCAGCTAGCAGGCACCAGTCATAGCCCTGGGGCCCCCGGGCTACACAGGCATTATACAGCTCTTCATTGAGTCCATCCTGGAAACAGCTTACCAGAATGTCCTCTGGCCAGTGCAGGTGAACTCCTTGGTATACTCAGCGACTAGTCTCCTTCCTTGTTTCACTCTCTTAATCTGCTTCCAGGCTTTCTTATCGGCCAGCCAGTCTTCGAAATGCCTGCGGAGTGCGGCCATAAATCGATTGAAGTTTCTCAATTCAGGTGCATTGCAGTTGTACAGGGTCACTATACAGTCAGCTGCTCCACCTTCCAGAGCCAGGGTGACCACACGAACTTTCTCAACATCAGTAGGCAGTGTTCTCCCATAGATTTGCATGTAGGTGAACACTTGTGCTAGGAAATAACCCAATCACTTCGGGTCTCCATCAAACTTCACTCTGATTGGAATTGGTTTCGCCTCGGCTGGTTGAGGCAGTCTGCCTCTGGCTCCTTGAGATGGGCGGCCCCGCCGCTGTGCTACCTCCTGGGCTCCAGCCACTGCTGTCTCTTGGACCTCCAATTCTTTCTTGTCCAATTCCCCCTCCGACTCTTCTTCCGACTCATGGCTTTTCTTTAGCTGCATCTTAAATTCATCAAGGGTCTTTTTCACATACTCCATCACCGCTTCCATTGGCCCCGATTTTAGTTCCTCCTTTTCTCTGTCTTTGTTGGGAGGGGCAGTTTCTGGATTTTTCTTCTTTACTTTTTTTCCCCCTCCGCCTTGAGTAAGAGAGACTTTCAGGGCTTTCTCTTCCCATCCTTCCTTCTTACCTACCATCTGGCTCGATCTTTACCAGAAGATCCGGCCCAGGTCCGTGGAGAGGCTTTCATTGGCTTTTAGGCAGAAGAGATCTTTGGACCATTTCTCTGCCTGGAACTCCTCCATGTAGAAATAGTTTGCAACTCCCCCGGTAGGGCAGCAGCTTCTCCGGGTTGAGTACTATGCAGATCTTGCCTTATGTAAGGACCCACTTCAACTAACCACCCAAGAAAGCAGAACTCTTGAAACAGGCATTGTCTCAAAAGGATACTTTTATTAGGGGTCAGTGACAGTAGGGAAGTCAAGGCGAGATCTGGGGAAAATCCCACGCAAACGGTATAGTTAAGCTAGCAATATTCCTCCTCCCACCAAAGTTATAATGTCCATTTGATATCCAGCCAATCCACAGGTGGTTTGATGAATGGGTAACTGGCACAGTTGGCGCACATCTCAAGGTCTTCTCCATTTTTGTTTCTCTATAACTGTCTCCCTGATAAGGGAGATACATTCCTTTCTCAAGGGGATAGAGGCAGGAGGAGAGAGTAGAAAGCGAAAGTTATCCCAAGTTAGAGTAAGCTCCCCCTCCCCCAGCAGAATGGCAGGCCCCAAAAGTAGAATATATATGCAGGGAAAACAATGAGGGTTTGAGGACCTGACAACATCATTCATTTGAAACAAGCTTTCCCTCTTTTTTTAATGAATTTGAAAAACACCCTGAAGCCCATGTTTTATTCAACCTGTTCTGCATTATATAAATGTCTCTAAATTATGTAAAATTTACATTATTCAATAGATTCCCTAACACTTAGAGTACAATCACGGAACCAGTGCTAGAGTAGAATGCTTTGTACTTTACTAATTATAAACTGTTAAGATTTTTACTTTGAGTAGAGTTCCGTTGTATTTAATGTATGTGTGTTAAAGTATGTTCTGCCTTTTTATTCAACTAGTATATAGATTCAGCAGACCTCGAGCCTGCTATGGAGGCTGAGAATCCAGTGAGATTCCATCAGGCCTGGCAGAAGCTATGTAAAGCAGAGTAAGCAAATACCTTTTTCTTCAGCTTCCACTCCGATTTACCTGGGTGATTCTTGTTTATTGTTTTATAAATAAATGCATTTTAATTTTATTTAAAATCATCTCAAAACTTGAACATCTGATATATCAGTGTGTAGAACGTATTTGTACCCAACTCTTACTATGCATTTCTGGAAATTTCAGCCTTACTTTTGCTGAAGTATTCCTATTACATGTTTTATTTAGTTTTTATGAATGTCCTAAACTCTGAATTGAAATAAGTTATAATAAAAAGCAAACCTTTAGTTTATGTTAATTGATAATATTATTATGTGAACAAGAAACAGGTTTATGCAACGCAGACAAAGATTTTTAAAAATTGTCCTTAGGATGAGGTCACACATTATGTATCATAATGGTATGTTTGAAATAACATACACTGATAAAATGTTAAGATGAAAAACTCAGATAAAAGGTCTTTTATGTTCTACCATCAGTAAAAGTATGGCACAGATACGCATAATTCTCAAATCTAAATTATTTGGCTCATGTGTTATGCTTGAATTTTGTATTGTGTATATTTCAGTTGCATATTAGTACCTGGAGGCTTTGGCCATAGGGGAACTGAAGGAAAACTTCAAGCCATTTCATGGGCAAGAAAAAAGAAAAAGCCTTTTCTTGGTAAGAAAGTACACCAGGAGTGGACTTTTAGTCTTGCATAATTGATAACATTTGTTCAAGTCAGATTTCCCAGGCTTGTGAATCTTCAATTTCAAAGTAGAAATGCCAGCTCGGAAGCTTGTGACCTCTTAGGGCACTTCATGCAGCAGCTATTTCAGAAAAGTCCTGGCAGCTGTGGAAGTTGAACTGGCTTCTACTTCAGTGGAAAAATTGCACAAGCAGTTTTACAGCTTGTTCTCTGTTGCCTTAGAACAGGGGTGTCAAACTGCCGGCCCGTGGACCGGATGTGTCATGCGGAAGCCGCGCCCACCCCATTGCCGGCAATGGCAAAACCATTCCGATACGTTGCGCGACGTCACATGACGTCGCGAGTTTGATGTGTCTGCCTTAGAACAAGTAGGTTTCCAATTTTTTCCTCTCCTGCTTGGTGATAGGGTGGTGTTGTATTTTGCCACTGTCTTCTTGATGTACACAACCTCATTGAGGACTTGCTTTGCCATTTCCACAATAAAGGGATGGTGTGTTTTTTAATGACAGATGGCCTCCTATTGGCTTTTTATTGGTTTTAGAGAGCAATAGGGTGCAAAGAGCAACTTCCAATCAGTGTCTTACTTCTTGGACAATTACCATCATGGAGCAACAAAGCTCTTTTTATCCCCTTTACCCAAAAAAGGAAATAAAATAATTATTGATGTTTGATATTTCCCCCCTGATATTCCAGCTTATGGATTTGTCTGGCAGTTTGCAAAAAGCATGGCAGTTTGCCATATTAGGTGAGTATAGGTAGTCCTCGACTTAGGATCACAATTGAGCCCAAAATTTCTGTTGATAAGTAAGACATTTGTTAAGTGAGCTTTGCCCCATTTTATGACCTTTCTTGCCACAGTTGTTAAGTGAATCACTGCAGTTGATAATTTAGTAACCTGGTTATTAAGTGAATCTTGCTTCCCCATTGACTTTGCTTGTCAGAAGGTCACAGAAGGTGATCACATGACCCCAGGACCCCAGCAACCATCATAAATATGAACCAGTTGCCAAGCATCTGAATTTTAATCATGTGACTATGGGGATGCTGCAGTGGTCATATGTGTGAAAAATTGTCATAAGTCACTTTTTTAATGCTGTTGTAACTTTGAACGGTCACTAAAAGTTGATAGGACTACCAGTATTCAAGGAAAGTTTGTCTAGCTCTTATTCCCAGTTCTCAGTTACTTTCTAATAATAAAAAATATGCAAGTGCCAATCAGTTGATTAATCTTATGCCTAAAACGAAGAGATGATAAAATATTACAGCAACATAAATGCAGAAGAAAGGATGATGTTTAAAATTCAAAGTGATAAAGACAGGTAGTCCTTAACTTACAACCACAATTGGGACCAGAAATCCAGCTGTAAGTCATTGTGGTTGTAAGTCGAGGTCCCCATGTGATGGATCCACATTTTTTACATCTTTTGTGGTGGTTGTTAAGAGAATCACTGTGTTCATTAGGCAAAGCTATTTTCTGAATGGATGGTTTTCACTGGAAACTAGCAAAAAGCACTGGAAACCAACAAAAAAAAATGCAAATTATGGTCACATCACTGCAGAATGTTGCAATTAGTTATAAAAGTGACTGGTTGCCAAGCACCTGTCGTACTGTCATATGACCACAGGGGGCAGTACAACAATTTACAGTCCCTCTGTGTGTTTGTGTGTCCGCTCACTCTACAGACCATAAAGCACCAATTCCATCCACTTCTTAAATGTGAATGGTCATTAGGCAACAGGTTGTTAAGTTGAGGATTCCCTGTGACATTTTGTTTTTAAATTTTTGCTTCACTTTTTTGCTCTTGGGATCACAAAGCAACCGCATATGTTCTGTTTCTTGGCTGGAAAATATATATAAATGCATATATGTAATTGTATCATTTACCATTTTTTGTTACTTATAGGAATTTGTTTGGGAATGCAGCTGGCAGTAGTGGAATTTGCAAGGAACTGTCTAAACTGGCAAGGTATATGCTATTTTACACCTAATTATCTGGGAGTAAGCCCCACTTTAACTTAGTAAAAATCTAATAAAGCGTAAGCTCTGTAAGTGAAGAAATCTCCACTTGCAGAAGAAGATAGTTCTTAGCTACATTCAGTAATTAATCAGACTGAGGGAATAAAGCAAGATAATTTCATTTAGCACAATTGTTGTATAAGAGGTTCCCTCCTTAGGAAAAATATGTCAGGAAGAAATCCAAAAAATAATTGTTTTTTTTATAGAATTATTGATTCTCAGCATTTTTTAATATTTAATTTTGGTGTTGCATAACTACCAACCAACACTGTAAGTAAAAGTTATATAAGTCAATGGCATACTTCAATAATACTGTAAGTTGCACTTCTTAGATCTCAGCTACCTTCAGTACCCCTTTACAGTTGCAAGAAAAAGTATGTGAACCCCTTGGGATAAAGCGGAGTTTTGCATGAATTGGTCATAAAATGTGCTCTGAACGTCATCTAAGTCACAACAATAGAAAAACACAGTCTGCTGAAAATAATAATACACAAACATTACATGTTGCCATGGTTTAATTGAACATAACATGTAAACATTCACAGTGCAGGGAGGAAAAAGTATGTGAACCGTTGGACTTAATAACTGGTTGACCC